CTGTGTTTCTTTTCCACGTAGACACCACAACTGTGTAAACAGCATTAGCCAAGCTGAATCTTCCATTCTTTTCTGAATATGTAAAACAGCTTTTTGGTACTAACAATTATCAGAAGGCCTTTCTTGCATTTGTTTTGTTGAAAATCACACAAAAGGCCATTCATTTACTAGCAGAAGTTAGTGTGATTCATTTCTGAATGATTTGCTGTGCTAGGATCCCATTTTAGTATGTCCTCATGTGCAAGCATCCACTAGTTTATTTCTTTCATAACCTGAAGTTATTGAGGTACCCTTGAAATGGCTAAGACACTTTTTCTATTTTGAAGTTCAAATTTAAATATACAAGCGTGGTAAATGGGTTGTCAGTAAGAGTAATTAAGAGTTGTGAAAGGAAATCCTGATTGTTCATGAAACTGAATGTTATTTAGACTTCTGGGATTCAGACCACAAAGCTGAATGTCAATATAATTATTTTTCTCTCATCATAACTTGAGATATCTACTTGAACTGATGCTTATAGATAAATAAATGGTAGATTTCATAATGAATCTTTCTTCAAATAAAGAAGTGCACTAGTGTTTATAAATATTCACTCCTTCCATCACCTGCAGAACATGTTGTTATCATCCTTTGCATCCTACTGCAGTCTAACAGGTAGCAGATAGAGACTGAATGCATTACCATGATGTGGCGTTAATAAAACAATATACATCAATGCAGAAATATGAAGTGCTTACAGAACTCAAATGACAGAAGTCATCCCTTTTCTGAAGAGAAGGTAATCTAATGCTAGAGAAGGCTAATGCTAGTTTATGATTGTGTATTTTTGCAGATGTATACATAAAATGGGATGATTTCTCTGTTTATTTATTCACATAAGTAAATGATCACGAGGTCTCAGGGTGAATTGTTTTACTGAGAAAGTCCCTATGAGAAAGGACCTGACTGGTTTCAGTATTTGTTTCTGTTAAGCTTTTGGGATTTTTTGTTGGTTAAATTAGCAGTTTAAGTTCGAAATCTTACGAATCTGACATCTTCCACTGTTCTGCACACTGCCAGAACAGATCTGTCATGGAGAGCCAAAAGTCTCTGTGTAGTAAGTGAGTTGTCTAAATTTACCCAGGCTACTATAGCCCATGTGAGGGGCAAGTACTGTACCTTTTTAATTCAGTAATCTGCTTTATCAATCTTTACCCTTTCTATGGATTTAATATTCATGTAGTATGTTGTAGGTCATTTTGAACTGACTTACATGAAGGGGTGCACTTCCTCTTGTTATATATTTTTCTTACATGTAAAATGAACTCTCACGCATTTCTTGGGCACACACTCAGAAGTTAAAGAAGTGCTTTTCTACTTGCTGATCTACTGGCAAGAGTGACCTTGAAATCAGACACTGCACCAAAGCAGTGTAGCACCGAAAGCTGACAGGCAGATGAGTGGCAGCTCCTTGACAGACTTGGAGGCCATGGAGAAGCTGAAAATAATGAAGGTACCTAGCACAGTCTTCTGGTCATGGATCAACAAGTGGGCTCAAGATAAGATAGCCTCCATGGCCAACAAAAGGCAGTAGAAGACGGCAGATGCTTTCAACCAGATATTCCCAGTACTGAAGAGTCGAATAAATGCAGATGTATGTTCTATTTTACAGCAGTACTTATCAGTACAGAGCAAAGCCTTTCCCAAAAATGGAAGAGTAGAAATAGTGACAGACTTTCCCATGATCACTTTCAAAGGCTTCTAACAGCCGAACTTTTAGCTGATATCACCAACTGCTTCAGAAAAAAAATGTCATGATAAACAGTTATCACTGACACAGAAGGGGTCTGTCTGTTTGGAATGGTTCTCAGAAACAAGCAGTGTTCTCCTCAGAGTTCATTTCTGTTTGTTTTTTGGGGAAAAGAAAAAAAAAGTAGACAAATCAGAGAATGATGTCAGATCTGACACCTGTCAAGAAGTAGCTTTCTGATGGACTTTTGTATGGTACAAAACTCAAGGATGTGTAAAGAACACAGACTGGTTATGGGGCTTCTGAGTTCCTTTCTGCATCTTCCCTATTACACTTTCCCCTCCATTTAGGACCCCTATCTCACCTTTCCCCATTGGTTCCCAGCATTAAATAATCCACAGAATGCCCTGTTGCAAGAATTGTTCGGGAGGAAAATTGTGTTCACTTTCTGCCTACTGCATTTCTCACCCAGAAAATTCAGAATGCATTTGGAAAGTGTCTGTGAAAGGTTTTAACTGCCCTGCTAAACCCCTGAGTGCTGCTTTTAAAGACTATCCATTAAGTGGAGGAGGCTTCTGACAGTGGTCTGGGAACATGAGACTTGAGCCTGCTTCAGCAGCTGGCTCTCCTTCCTGGCACAGCAGCAGGCTGAGTGCAGCTCACAGCCACCTCATCCCTCCTCAGCAGGAGCACTCAGGACGGGAGTCTGCTGAGGAAAAAAGAGAGAAAAAAAAGAAAAAAAGCTTCATTTTGCTGGAAAATGCTGATTAATCAGGACTGAGCACTTTAATGGGAAAATACCTCATTTGACAAACTTCCAAAGAAACAGAGAAAACTGCACTGGAAACACTCTTACTTTCTGTCTTCTGTGTCCTTACCTAATACCTGATAGGTGAATAGAGCTCCTAAGACTTGTTTCTTCAAGGTTTAAGGCTCCTTCTGCTACTGTTAGGGGCTAGCTGACAACCTAGAGGGCTGTGCTCTTGGGCTCAAGTTCATTAATTTTGCAGAAGTATAAACATTCCTTTAAAAAATGAGACTTCTGTGAGAAATGCCAAGATTTTGACTTTCAACCTTGAATTATAAGAATTTCCAGAAAAGAACTTCCAGTTTAGAACTGTGTTTGTTCTGTAGGGAGCTAACCTCTCCATACTTCCTAGTTTCAAGGAAGTTTTCACAAATCCTGTGATACTATTGCCTCATTCCTGTTCTCACTTGATGCTGGTGCCTAAGTAGGTCAGTCAAAATCAGCTGGTCATGCTAGAGACTTACGTATTACTCAGATGCCTCCTAAATTCTCAAAGTGGTCTCCATTTAAAGCGTGGAGTCCATTTTTTACTGTACTTGATTATCAGTGCGTTATGCTGTCCATTCAGTCAATTTTTATGCTCAGAATACCTGGTTGTATGTTAAATATACTATAGCAAAAACAAAAAGATCATAGAATCATAATTGTTAAGAAAATTAAATTAGAAAATTGAATAGAATTGTTATGAAAAAGAACTCTAAGATCAAGTCTGGTCATCAACCTATCACTACATGCTCACTAAACCATTGGTGTCCAACTCCCTAGATTTATGGTTTAGTTGCTTTTTTTTTTTTTTTTAATGTTTTAATAATATATATATGTAAATAAGTTTTATTACTTACATATATTGAAAGATAATTGCATCCACCATTCCATGTCTGTACAACAGAAAAAAAGTGACAGCTAAATCAAGGCGTGGTGGAAGGCTGTGGTTGTCAATGTACAATGTTCTGATATTGGTCAATGCTACCTCTTATGAAAGGACAACAAGCTGCACATAAATATTTCTGTAGGAAAAAAAAAAAGGCTTAATGTAATGCACATTGTAAAATTATCATGATGTAAAGACTTATTAACAATATTTCTACTATAAGCTGAAATTAGAACCATAGGAATCAATTTAAGTTAATAATACAACAGCATTTCTTCATTTGCATTTTACATTTATTTTTCAAAGGTAGTGCTACAATATATGCATTACATACTGCAGTGCATTATTAGAAATGCAGAAAAATTAAAATTGAGAAACCTCATCAGAAAAAGCAAAGCCTAGATTTTGCAAGTGGTAGAGAAGGAAAACAGTCATACATAGGTAAAAGAAATCACAGGACATAGATTTTGTTTAGTTTCTGTTCACCTTTTAATTGTCTTGTATACTAAAAATGAGAAGAGGATTGATGGAGAGCTTCTGCACCATCTACATTTGTATAGCAATTTTTTTCACATGGTTTTTGATGTACCTTTTCTTCAGAGGTGATATTTATAGGAAGATATTCTTGACTCTTATTTGCTCTTTTTTAACAATTCACAGGTTTGTGGTTAGAACAGCCCTCTTAAACCTTCCCTTTAATGTTGGTGCAAACTTTTAAAGCAGTATTATTTGATTGATTAGAACTCTGTGCCATACTCCTCCTCAGCACTGGTATTGGCAGCAGTATTAGTTCAGTCTTGTTAGTTGATGTTACTCTGGCAGTACACTCTGTTTTGTACATCATTTCAGTGTGGGTGGAATTTGCACACCAGCCATATTAAGGGGCATCACTGAGATGTATCTCAGGTGAGAACCAAGGGTGAGTGATGGAGGCTCAACGTGGATCTGAAGTTACAAGAACCAGTTGCAACTCTGCCTCGTCTCAGACCTGACCTTGCACACAAGCAGCCAGCTCTCTGAGGTTATGCTTAGGGTCCTTTCCATGCCTGTATATGCCTTTGATGATGGGAGGGGAAAAAATTAATGGTTTCACAGCATCTTAAAAACTGATAACTCTGGTCTTGCTGTTCTTATCGCTGGCTACTGAAATTCTTTATCTCACAGGAAACTATATTTCTTGTGAGTTTCTTTTAACTTATATGAAGGTAGTTTTCTCACTGGAAGCATCAAAACAATTTACGTTCATACTAAGCAGAAGCCATCTTGGATTTCTGATTTCATTTTTCTGCTCATCTTTATGGGATGCATCATTTAGATAAATATTACAGATTCTTTTGACAAATATGTCTTTCTATATCCCAGATAATAACGTGGATCTGCTAGCATTCTTAGAGCCTGAAAAGAATCTCAGAAGACAAGTAAAGCATTGGAAGCCGCTGAAGTGATGTTTGACATTTTCCATTAGGAATACTAGCTACCACATATAATGTGTGATTTAACCATTTGTTGACTGTTGCTGTATTAAACAAGTTCCTACTTTCCTGATGGCTATGGTACTGCACAAGTGCTCAGTTTCTTTCTCTTTCTCCCAGCACCCCCAGCTATAACTACGCACCAAACATGGATAAGCACTGGATCATGCAGTACACGGGGCCCATGCTGCCTATCCACATGGAGTTTACAAACGTCCTGCAACGCAAGAGACTTCAGACCCTGATGTCAGTTGATGACTCTATGGAAAGAGTGAGTTCAAAAAACTGCTGTGAATACTTCAAAATCATAGAATGGCTTAGGTTAGAAAGAACCTAAATACCACCTAGCTTCAACACCTCTCCCATGAGCAGGAACATTTTCTACTAAACCATATTGCCCAAAACTCCAGCCTGGCCTTGAACACTTCTAGGGATGCAGCATCCACAACTTCCCCGGGCAACCTGTTCCATTGCCTCACTACCTTCATAGTAAAGGATGTCCTCCTATCTAATCTAAATCTACACTCTCTCTGTTTAGAACTATTATCTCCTATCCTATCACTACATGCCCTGTAAAAAGAAGTTCCTCTCCAGCTTTCTTCTTAGGCCCTATTTAGTCATTCTTACTAGTCAGTAACAAAATTAAGCAAATTCTTTCCTTACCTTCACCAATCACAGCAAGGGGAAAGTCCCTGGGATGCAAAGAATTACACTACATATTCCTAGACCTAATTAATTCTGGTTATATTCTTCTCAGTGTAGTGTCAAACTCTTCCTTGCATCTTTTAATTGGTGAGTGAGTAAGATGGTGGTTTTTTGGTTTTTTTTTAATAATGGAAAAGTCAGTGGGCTATTATAAAGACTGGTGTAAACAAAAGATGCATCACCTTTGTATTCTCATGGATAGATGCAGATGATAACTTCATTTCACACCGTCCCTTCGCAGTTAGTCCTTCATCTGAAATTTGGGAATTGGCAAATCACATCAACACAGGTGACAGTCTCTCATGTTTGCAGAAGTTACACAATGCAGTGTACTGCTAATTATAGGTAATATGATACATGATCTGTTAGTTATAGTTTGCATGACTTTTTGTTCAAAATTCAAGCACCGTGACCAAAGTTCTTCCCCTGGAGAGATTTCTTCAAACTTTAATAAAAATTTACAGCCTTTTCCCCAGCCCACAACTGTAAAGAATGGGAAAGCTGTAGACTAACACAGTAAATCAAATCTGAATAACATTTACCCTAAAGCTGTAGCAGAGCTTTTTTCCCAAGCTGTGTTTCAGTATACATTCACTTCGGACACACTAATGCAACTACATTAGTAGTACCATATTTTGGCATTATAATTATCTGGGTTTCTTCTCTGTCTTCAGAGCAAACTCCCCTCTGTGAAATGTGAAGTTGAACTTCTAAGTGAATGTTTTCATCAGCATAGTAGAGACAAGATGTAAAAATGCCCATTCCCAAAATGTCAGTTTCAGTAATTTCATTGATGCCATGCTTGATTCTTTGATTCTAAAATAGTAAAATAATTGTTTTACATGATTATGCAGAAATCACATTTTGCCATGTTTAAAGTTTTCCCTGTGCTCTATTTCAGTTATACCAAATGCTTGCAGAAATGGGAGAGCTGGAGAATACCTACATTATTTACACTGCTGACCATGGTTACCATATTGGGCAGTTTGGACTGGTCAAGGGGAAGTCAATGCCATATGACTTTGATATTCGAGTTCCTTTCTTTATTCGTGGTCCAAGTGTGGAGCCAGGATCAGTGTATGTTCTCTTATGTCTTTAGTAAAGCTGTTACCTAATGTAAAATTTTTCTGAGTACTTGTAATTATCACTCTGTCTAGCTTCATTTCGTAATGGATACCCTATGACTGCAGAACAGTGACTCCTAAAAAACAGTAATGTCTTTCACTTTGCATATTATTAATAAGTTATAATGTAGAGGGGAAAACTGTATAACCTATAACTGCTGTAAGGCTAGGTTTCACAGAATCACAGGGGAAGGACCCTCAAGAGATCTTCAAGTCCAACCCCCCTGCTAAAGCAGGTACCCTACAATAGGTCACACAGGTAGGCATCTAGATAGGTCTTGAATATCTGCATGGAAGGAGACTCCACAGCCTCTTTGGGCAACCTGTTCCAGTACTCCATCACCCCTACTGTAAAGAGGGAAGGGTTTGCCCTGAAGGTTACCGTAAAGGTTTTGGGTTTGCCTTTAAAAAGTAGACGCTTATCTTTACTGTTCATCTTCTGCAGCAGAATAGCTGGCTGGCTGTATGCCTTCTTTGTCAAGCAGAAAAGTATCACATGGCAGTTGCCCCTCTTCCTTTTATTGTGCTTAGCTTTTTCTTTCAAATGATATTCTGCAGTATTGACCTCTTACTCTCACAGTTGTAGACTTTAAAGAGGGGTTTCTAAACATAGCTCTTGTGTAGAGCTTTACATCTTCAAAGCCCTGGTAAACATTAATTACCTTTCTAATTCTGAGACAATGTGAAGACTTCCATATTGAACATATGACACTGTGACCTTTCCTCTTGATTCGCAGAGTGCCTCAGATAGTTCTGAATATTGATCTTGCACCAACAATTCTGGATATTGCAGGACTTGACACACCTCCAGATATGGATGGCAAATCTGTCCTAAAGCTTCTAGACTTGGAGAGACCAGGAAATAGGTGAGTCTCAGGCTTGTGGGTTTTTTTGCCAATTCAGGAGAAAACACCTAAGTAAATCAACAACAGAGTGGAAAAAGAGATGTGATGAAAATAAGATGTGTCAAGCTTGCAACCACATCTTTCTCATTTGAAAGCCCTCTTAAATAGTACATCTATAAAACTGCAGGTATACATAAGCAGAGGGGTGTGCTTTAAAAAATTAATGGTTTACACTAGCAGTTCTGTATATGGGTGTCAGCAGTAAATATTATTATTTTGTTTTCAGATTTCGAACAAACAAGAAGACCAAAATCTGGCGTGACACATTCCTGGTGGAAAGAGGGTAATTATTAGGGGTGAGAGAGTTTTGGGAGAGCCTGCCTGGTAGGAACACTCTTTTGTTTTCCCTTTTTTGCCCTCTCTTCTTTCCCTTTATGGTCAGAGAAGTTGTAAATTTTGCAAGCAAACTTACAGACCTACTTGTTTCTTCATTTCCTACCACTGGCTGTTCATACTGCTGTGCTGTGAGGTCCCTGCCCCCTAAGAAGTTTGAAAGCATGTTTTTCTGGCAGCTCTCCTAGCCTATACCTCCTCCTCCTTTAGCATTGTACTTGTGACCACTTATGTCATCATCTGACTCATTTCTTTCCAATTCTCTGTTTCATATCCAGCTGTGCAATATCCTTTTATCAACTGATTTTGTATTTTCCACCATAGATTAGAAGCATTCTTCATTTCTGTTCTAGCTAAGAAAAGAATTACATGTAAATGAGATTTATGACTATAATTACTCTTTCCTCTAATACTTCCTTACTCTCTCACCTTGACAATTCCTGTTGTGAAAATTTTCTGTGTTTAAAAAAATTCTCAGCAATTTCCTTGTGATATTTTATGGTTTTTCAGATTAAGAAACTCTTCTGTGAGTACTACAAAACAGCGCACATTAGATACACTGTGCTGAATGAGTGTGGAAGCCCCATAGTCTATTCAGCAGGGCTTTTCAGCTAGATAAATACTGCTTCACAGTGTTGTCCTTTGTGAAGGAACGTACATTTATTTGTGAATGCTGCTGAACTTTATCAGTTAAACATATTTCATTAGCTTTTATTTCTCTTCAGGTAAATTCCAGAAAATCAAGTGAGCCTTTTTTTCACTACATGACTTTTTGTCATTTAAGGTCTTTAGCAGAAATGTGGGGATTTTCTTCCTTTGAAGACATTTAGTTTCCAATTAGCTTTGTTTTTCCAGTTAAATTCATCATCTCCAGAGTTTGGAAGAATGTATATTAAATATTCAACTTTTTTTTTTTAAAGCAAATTTCTACGCAAGAAAGAGGAAGCTAATAAAAACACTCAGCAATCTAATCAACTGCCAAAATACGAGAGGGTAAAAGAATTATGCCAACAAGCAAGGTACCAGACAGCCTGTGAACAACCAGGACAGGTAAGTGACAGCAATTGTAGTCCTCTGTGTGCCACAAGGAAATACATGTAAAAACAAATTCAAGAATATGTCTTTTGGATCCTTAGCAATCATTGTGCTTTAATATTTATCTAAACTCCTTTAGTGGAAGGGTCCCCTTCCTTGGAAATATTTACTATTTAAGATTACTGTAAAGAATCAGACAGTGATTCATATTCAAATGTTACTTCTTATTCCTGTAGCTTTAATATTTTCAGCATGATGCTTGATGCTGATACACAGATATAAATGCCTGCTCATAAAATAAGTGGTGTTGTTGCTTGAGTAGTACACCAATACCAGCAGCTCTATAGTGCTTATATGGGAAATGAACTAAATGGGAGGGAGAGGGGGCATTTTTGTTTGAAGTAGGTTTTAATTAATATTTTTATCAATAGTTTTTCTGAGGAGATTGAGTACACCCTCAGTAAGTTTGCAGATGACACAAGTTGGGAAGGAGTGCTGATCTGCATGAGAATAGAAAGGCCCTACAGAGGGATCTGGATAGCTTGGATTTATGCCCTGAGTCCAATTGTATAACATTCAACAAGGCTAAATGCCTGGTCTTGTACTTGGGTCACAACAACCTAATGCAATGATATAGGCACAGAGAAGAGTGTCTGGAAAGCTGCCCAGCAGAAAAGAACCTGAGTGTGTTAGTTGACAGCCAGCTGTATGTGATCCAGCAGTGTGCCCAGGTGGCTAAGAAGTCCAGTGACATCCTGGCTTGTGTCAGAAACTGTGGCCAGCAGAAGTAGGTAAGTGGTTGTGCCCCTGTACTTGGCACTGGTGAGGCTGCACCTCAAGTACTGTGTTCAGTTTTGGGCCCCTCACTTCAAGGAAGATGTTAAGGTGCTGGAACATGTTCACAGAAGAGCAACAAAGCTGGTGAAGGGACTAGAAAACAAGAAATATGAGGAGCAGCAGAGGGAACTGAGGTTGTTTAATCCAGAAGAGGCTGAAGGGGAGACCTCATTGCTCTCTGCAGCTACCTGAAAGAAGATTGTAGCAAGGTAGGAGTCAGTGCTTTTTCTCAGGTGACAAGTGATAGGATGTGAAATGGCTTCAGGTTGCACCTTGGTAGGTTTAGACTGTATAATTAGGAATAATTTCTTCATGGAAAGAATGAAGAAAGCCTTTGGAACATAGATTGAGACAGGCTGCCCAGGGAAATGATGGAATTCCCAATCCTGGTGGTATTTAAGAGATCATAGAATCATTAAGCTTGGAAAAGACCACTAAGATCATCTAGTCCAACTGTCAGCCCATCACCACTATGCCCACTGACCCATGGCCTTCAGTGTGACATATCTGTTTTTCTTGAACACCTCCACAAACTGTGACTTCACCACTTCCCTGGCCAGCCTGTTCCAATGCTTCAGCACTCCTTCTGAGAAGAAATTTTTCCTAATATCCAATCTGAATGTGTAGACACGGTGCTAAGGGGCATGTTTTAGTGGTGGTGCTATGTTGATGGTAGGTTGTCATCAGCTTAAGGGTCTTTTCCAACCTAAGTAACTCTATGAAATTAAGAAAAAGTGAGCCATACCCCAAATTTTGTTCAGCTGACTCTCAATTAATACTGTATCCATAGCAGTGTATGAAGCTGAATTTTCTGGGGAAGAATCAGATGGGATGCCTTCCCACTGACTCCATCTCTGACTAGTGCAGGCAGGGCCCATGGGCACCATCACACCGTGCTGTCTTCACCCCCGTCCCCATCTCTGTACACCTCTCCTGAGGAGTGCAAGGCGATCTCTCCCAGGCAGGCACTCACGCTTTCCCCTCAGATGTTTTCTCAGACCATTGCAGCCAGCTGTAGGCCTGGCACTGAAATACCGACCTACTGTTTTGAAGGGAGTATAAAGCCTTACTGTGCAGTGCTTGCATCTGCAGCCACCCACGGAGCTTCACCCAGGGCAGGTAGAGCCCTGTAAAAGAAACCTAAAGGCACTCTGGAGAGCTTGTGCGCTTACAGACGTGCTCCTTCCTCACCTTGCTCTTGTCACTCATTAGAGCGTAGTGTTACGGTAAATCTCCATTAATCCCAGATTGGATGGGAATATGTTTTGGCTGGCACATCTGTGGTCCATTTCTCTGCCACAGTTCCCACCTCACACATGCTCCTAAAACTCAGCCACTTTTAAGGGAGTGTGCACAAGATCGCAGTCTCACCCAAGGGCAAAGTTTTCAGGAGTTCAAACATTGCCATTGTAAACAGAGATTAAATCTGAAAGACTGAATATTTTTATAAAAACCAGAGAAGATCAGTGGAGTCATTTAGACTGCTAGACGCTAAAATGTTTAGTTTTAAAATACTAAATTTTTTTTTTTTGCAATTATTTCTTACATTTACTACCTCTTATGCCAAAATCCAGGTTTGTAATAACTTTTCTTTTCCACATGTGAATAGATGAGGTTAAGTGTCCTGACAAGGTATCACAACTGAAGCAGATGGGAGCATTGCCCGTAACCCAGCTCCCAGTCCCCAGTGGCAGACTTGGCTTTATGTCCTGTGCTGGGGACTCACCTCTGATCCAAAAGCAGAGGAAGGGGAAGGCTTTGAACTTACAAAGAGCTGACAAGTGCAGTGGTGCTTAATACCAGCTTTTCCACCTATGGGACTTCTAGATGCAGAAGATACTTTGACTTCTCAGAGCCCAGCAGCCAGCCCTTACGGCTGAGTAAAAGATAAGGTCAAAGTGATCTTCTTATGAGAAACTTTCAGATCTAGCCTTTAGTGCATATGAATTATGTTCCTAAGCAAAGACAGCAGAGTTGTCCCTGATCCTTCTAACATCCTGAAGGCATCCTGCAGGGATACCAGTGTTCAGCACACCTGCATACAGAGCATCCTGAGATGCATTAGTACATCCTCCTGGTGTCCTCTGGGCTCATTCAATCCATGGTGCACAACCCATGGATCTCACGCCCCATTCATTCCCATTCCAACCTTGTGAAGCATGGGCAGCTTCTCCTGCAGGGACTGGCTACACACAATACTCAAGGGCAAAACAGTGAAGAATAAACTGGATGTGGATCTAAAGAGCAGCAGTGGAATAACATAACCTTCAGTGAGGCATTGCAGTGTGAAATAAGTGTCTGCAAAATTTTTCCACTTAGAAAAATTCTTGAAGAAAATTAAAAGTTAATGGACCAAATGATTTCACGTTAGCCCAGATGGTTTCCATTGTTTAATACTGAGGGATCATCATTTAATAGGTTTCTCCAACAGATTTCATCTACTTGTTTTGCACATCTTGGAAAAGAAAAGGAGGTAATATTTGTTTGTCAAACTTAATTTCAATTAATTTTGTGTTTTGAGTTTTGTATCTTTAATATCAATTACATAGGTGCATATGTAGAAAAATACCTTAATTTTAATGTATGATAGTTGCTAATACTCCCTACATTTACACTATTCAGTTGCACTTAAAATCATTTAAATTAAAATCACCTTCAAAATATGTGATTGCTGACAGATTTTTAAAGAATGCAATTATTAGTCACTGGGGAGTCGCTGCTAAACGTCTGGAACTATAAAGAACTAAAACAGTGCAAATTAATGCACTGTCTAGTATATTGAGAGCACGTTCTTCATGTTACCTTTATTCAATATCCCGCTCATTTGGAATAGAGAATGCAATTGGGAGTTGAAAAATAAAAAATGTTTTTCTTGTTTTAAAATGAGGTGTGATCCTGGGACCTGCTAGCTATCACATCTTCAGGAAAACAATTGTTTTAATTTGTTTTCTATTAAGTAAGTAACCTGAAATAGTTAAGACACTTTTTAAATGGAAAATTTCAGAATTTCAATATTTTTTTTTCAATTTCAATTTCCAATGTTTACTCAAATGTGGCTAAACAAAAAAAGGAAAAAAAGAGAATACTGAACATCTTTGTAATTTCTGTAATTGTTTCATAATTATGTCTAAAAAAGAGAATAAATTTTGGCTATGGAGTACAGTTAGCTGCAAATCAGCAAGGTTTTTGCTTACAAAACAGAAACTTAATTTCTTTAAGAAAACATAGTTATAAAATGCACATGCAAAATACAGTTAAACTATTTTTATTGTGGTTTTTTTTTTTTCGGAGATTCATAGATTGGCTCATTTTCATTGTAGACCATCCTCACCTTGCTATTTTCATAATCCTCTTTATGGGAGAATGGTTCCCAAAAGTTGTCACATTCTCAAGAGCATAGCAGAAATGTGATGTATATGACTGCACAGATATGCTCACTTTTGAGTCACATTCAGCTGGTCTTTAACTTGAGCCAACCATGATTCCTTGCAGAAGGGAGAACCATGCATACAGAGTTGCATTAGCAAGAATAGAACTAATGGGTCATGGGAAATGATCACTTGCCTCTACTCGGTGTGCATTTGGGTTGGGACCTCTGTTAATCTGGATTTCATCCAGTAGAGGACCCTGGAGATGGTCAGGAGGGGCAGTGGCTTATTTCACCAGAGGCAAGGGGGATCTAATTGCTGCCTTCAACTAACTAATAGCTAGTTAGAGAGAAGACAGACCCAGGCACTTCTTGGAAGTGCACAGCAAAAGGGCTATAAGCAGTGGTCAAGTTGCAGCAAGGGAAATTCTGAGTAGGTGTATGGAAAAAAATGTTACTATAAGAGTGATTAAGCACTAGAGCAGGTTGCCCAAAAGGCTGTGGAAGGTCCATCCAGCGATATTTGCAAAACCTAATAAAGTCGTTCCTGCTTTGAGGAGGAGGTTGGACTAAATGACCTCCAGATGTTCCTTCCAGTGATTGCACGTGCTCCAGATCTTTTTTCTTGCTTAATTCCTAGGCTTGAGGATTTTTGTTATCCTTGTCCTCCTCAGTTTCATAACCTGGGAAGTGCTATAAATTTTGTCTGTCTTGTCCATGAGATAAGGGTCACCTGCCATATTCAGAAACAAATTGGCTTTTGGCTTCTGCCCAAACCCAGTTGTTGACCTGTGCTCAGTGACATCACAGC